GAGGAGAAGGAGGAGGAGGTGCAGGAGAGGCCCGCCCCAACAGGAGGCGGCCGACCCAGCACCGTCCGCCGAGGCGGCGCCTGCTTCGGGCACCGCGGCTCCGGCAGCTGACGAGGACCCTCCGCGGGCAGAGCGAAAGCCCCCCTAGGCCTTGCCTCTGTTTTGAGGAAGGGGCGGGAGGGATGGGGGAGAGTTTCTTCCTCCTCCTCCTCCTCCTCCTCCTCCTCCTCCTCATCCTCTTCCTCCTCCTCCTCCTCCTCCTCCTCCTCTTGCTCCTCCCCCTCCTCTTCCTCCTCCTCCTCTTTCTCCTCCGCCTCCTCCTCCTCCTCCTCCTCCTCCTCCTCCTTCTGCTCACCATCATCATCATTATCCTTCATCCTTCGTCTCCCCTCCGTCCCCTGTCCATCCGATGGAAGCGGGGCGGGGGGAGGAGGGAAGGAAAGAGAGAGGGACCGGGGGACGGACGAGTGGAGGAGGAGGGGCCCAGATCCCCGACGTCCTGACATGGTCAAAACGTCGGCCCCCCAGAGGTCTTGGCGGCTCCTCGTCTTGAGTCACTTCCTGACGGCCCGGAGGCCCCCTCAGGGCCCCCAAAGGTCTAACTGAACCACAAGCCTTCCGTCGTGATTCTTCTTATGATTCGACGCAGTCTGGGGAGGGGGAAGCGGAAGCGCCCGGGAGCTGGCACGGGCGCGCTTGATGGGGGCCGCCCGAGGCGGCGCCGGCGGCCGCAGACCTCGCCGGGGCCCCGGGGGGCGACCGCGGAGCGGCAGAGCCGGCGGGCCCGCGGCGCGCCGTGGGCCCCGGCGGCGCTTTGGCGGAGCCGGCGGCCACGGGCCCCGCCCGCGAGGCGCCCCGGCGCGCCGCCGAGGGGCGGCCGAGCGGTGCGCCCAGCAAGAGATCGCCGGCCAGCGGCTGTGCGGCCGGACAGGCCGAGGAGGGCAGAGGGGGCGGTGGCGAGCGGCCTCGAGGGGCTGTGGGGGAGCGAGGGCATGTCAGGAGATGAGGAGCGAGAAAGGGGGAGGAGGAGCGATGAAAGGATAAGAGGAGGAGGATAGGAGGAGGAGGAGGAGGAGGAGAAGCAGAGAGGAGGAGGAGGAGGAGGAGGAGGAGGAGGAGGAGGAGGAGGAGGAGAGAGGACGAGTGAGGAGGAGGAGGAGGAGTGGGGGGAGGAGGAGGAGGAGGAGTGGGGGGAGACGGGAGAGCAACGGACGGGAGTGCGGGAATGCTTGGGACGCGGCGCGGCGATTTCGGGGTCCCCCGAGGCGTCCCCGGCCTGCCCAGAGAGTGCCGCCGTGGACCCTGTTGGCGCCGCGGCGGAGCTGGCGGCCACGGGCGCCGCTGGCGCCTCCGAGGGGGCGGCCGAGCAGGGTGCCCAGGAGGGCGATGCCACGGGGGTGGCCTGCCAGGCCGAGAAGGCAGAGGGGGCGGTGGCCGAGCAG